TACTGTCCTGCATACCTCATTAATGTCCTGCAGACCTCATTACTGTCCTGCGGACCTCATTACTGTCCTGCAGACCTCATTACTGCGCGCAGACCTCATTAATGTCCTGCAGACCTCTTTAATGTCTGCAGATCTCATTAATGTCCTACAGACCTCATTACTGTCCTGCAGACCTCTTTAATGTCCTGCAGATCTCATTAATGTCCTGCAGACCTCTTTAATGTCCTGCAGATCTCATTAATGTCCTGCAGACCTCATTACTGTCCTGCAGACCTCTTTAAATAATTTACACACGGCATCTATTGCACGTCTGTCCGTCCTGGGAGACGGATCCCTCCTCTGTTGCTCTCCCTGAGGTTTCTCCCATGTTCCTCTTTAAACTGTGGGGTTTTCTCCGGAAGTGTTTCCTTGTACGATGTGAGGGTCTAAGGACAGAGGGTCTAAGGACAGAGGGTCTGAGGACAGAGGGTCTAAGGACAGAGGGTGTCGTATTGTCATACTGATATTCTGTACAAACTGTGAAGTCCACTGAGACAAATGTAACATTTCTGATATTGGGCTATATAAATAAACATTGATTGATTGATTGATTGATTAATGTTCTGCGGACCTCATTACTGTCCTGCTGACCTCATTACTGTCCTGCAGACCTCATTAATGTTTTGCAGACCTCATTACTGTCCTGCAGACCTCATTACTGTCCTGCAGACCTCATTACTGTCCTGTGGACCTCATTAATGTCCTGCAGAAAATCTGACTTTTCCTCAAAAGCTCAAAAGCGTTCTGTACATCTTAATATTGCGCATCAGCTGAATATTTGTCTGTCTGAATCTGCTCTTCCTCAGATTGCTCTTAAGGTTGGCTGCTGGAGGATGAATGAAGACGTGATGATCGAATGTCTGAAGAAGAGCGACCCTGTCAAACTCACCATGGCGGGGAAAATCGACGTGTTGCTGATACTGGGAAAAGGTCAGAGCAGCTTTAAGAGACAGAAAGAAACATCAATATTAACCACAGACTGCATATCCACATAGACCAACACCAGCATTGGTGCAACATATTTGAAGGCGATAAGGTGGACATTTCTTGTTGTTTATTTGTCGAACTTCAATGTGTCTTTAGGCTAATATTACATTTAAAAAAAGTCCCTGACAAAATACATGTAATGTTAACAGCAATGTGTTTGAAAAGAGTCACAGTCTCTGTAAACCTTTAGCATTAACCCCTTAAGGGCTTTTAATGATGCCATTATTGTCCTATGCTCAATAGCTACAATCATACAACATACAAAAAACTAATATGTTAATTAGTGGAATACCCATTACATGTAAGTTGGAGGAATAAGGAACATATTTAAGATAAAATAAGGTCAAACTAAAATATATACCGTACAGTAGAACATGTGGGAGCTGTGTGATAAAAAACAATATTATAAATCATGTGTTACGATAAAATGTGATGTGAATGAAGAGACACTGCATGACACGGCTTTTTGGTGGCCGCTCTTTATTTTGATGTGTTCCTATAACTTCTTATCCCCTGACATTATTTAAAGAAAGTTTCAAGAAAGATTTAACGTTGAACAGAGATTTCTGAGGCACCAAGTGTAAGTTTCTGCGTTGTGCTGTGGAAGGATCAGACCAGAGTTAGCATACCGTTGGATCCGATCTCCTTTTATTCTGACAACAGATTAACAACAAATCAGTCGTTACTATATTGTACGCCCTCACACTTCGACTCCTGCACAGATTCAATTAGAACTAAATAATTCAACATACACACATGTTCATAGCTTAATGCAGAAATGTCTGAAAACAGTGCCGTTACTTCTCCCGTGAAACACGTTAACAAAAAGTGACGAGGAGAACGTGAGGGACACAATGTAAAGGAGGGAGTGGATGTCAGAGGCTCCGCCCACTGATTTGAGGCCTAACAAGCCAGGTATTCACTTTTGGTAGATACAGAACACAGAATTTGATTATAATAAATAAGTGAGTCTCTGTAACACCAAACACTACTGCATATTTACATAAGGAACTATGTGTGAGCCTCTTTGAACTTCTGAAGTGTGTGAACCCTGACGGTGAAGCCTCTCTCCTTCTGAAGGTACGGTTATGGATCTCATTGAGTTTTCTCCGGTGATCGACGGGGACTTTATCCCAGATGAGCCCAGTAAACTGTTTCATAACGCCGCTAAATTCGACTTCATGGCCGGGGTCAACAGCATGGACGGACACATCTTTGCTGGTGTCGACGTTCCTTCCATCAACAAGAAAACTGCCAACACAACTGTGTGAGTTCTCAAACGCCACAGCACTACACACCTGATTTAGGGAATTTTATTATTGACCAATTAGGACCAGACCCCAGACTAAAGGAACACAAATAAAGTTTCTGAAACTGTTATCAGAAATAGCAACTGTAAACATGCAAAAAATGTAGAAAACGTTATTTTTCTTATTTGGGGTCCCACAAGGCTCCGTCCTGGGCCCACTGCTTTTTATTCTGTAAATGTTTCTGCATTTGAGTATTGTTCCACAAAAACAGCATCTTAAAGTTTCATCACTATGCAGATGACCCTCAGCTCTATAGATGTTGATCTTATGTTGATCCCCCCCTTTAATCAACACCAGTGTGCCGGAGTGAGGGAGACCAAATGTTCGTCCAATTAAATACAAAAAGCTGAGACTGAGTTTCACTGTAGGTCCAAAAGAGGAATAAGAGAAACTTTTGGACAATTAACCCTATATTTAAAAAGACAAGCATAACGTAACTCTAGCTTCAATTACCCCAACGAGAGACACACACTAGAAAACAATGGGAGTCTACTAACACAATGTGCTGCTTTTATACTAAATACATTCATTCTAATATACTTCTGTTTTCCTTCCTCTCCGAAGTAGTCAGCAAGATACAAAACCTTGATCTCTCAAGAAATGAAGTTATGATATTTGGAGATTAATTCTGAATTTGTTGTGGTCCTGTTTGTCCCCAGTAAGAGTGTGCAGGGTCTTCTGGCCGGTCTCACTAGAGAGAAGGGGGGCGCTGCCGTGGAATCGGCCTTCAGCGTTTACTCGTCTAACTGGGGGTCCCATCCGGACCCGGCGGTGATTAAGAAGACGGTCGCCGACATCGAGACAGACTTCCTGTTCCTGGTTCCCACTCAGATCGCCCTCCAGCTCCACGCCAACAACGCCAGGTCAGATTGGTTACAGTGAAGGTGACTAATGGAGAGTATGCAGACGATCTGTTGTAAAACTCAGAGTCTTTGTACATGGTCCACAAATGAGCCTTCTCTGCTTGTGGAGTACGTCAAGGTTTAGAATTAGGAGTGTTTATACTGTGTCTGAACTGATGAGTCTCCAAGGTCACACATTTTAATTAAAGCTGTAAGCAGTGATTCGCTGTTGTCTGCACGTCGACGTCACGCAGATGTTTTCCGGACTCGGCCGTTAGCAAACGTGGGAAGTTTCAGACCGATCGGACAATGTCTATAGGAGTTTCAGCAGTAACATAAACAATGGCCTTTGATGACACCCCATAATACGCTTAGATGTATTGAGGGCTGCATCGTTACCAAACCTGTGAATTTCTTTGCCGTTCGGAGCATGAGAAAGTTATGTGAAAACCGTGTTTGATGGCGAGCATTATGTTGTCATGGCAACGGCATTTGACGAAATCTAAAAGATGACGTGTAGATGTCTTCACGTCTTCATAGCTGTACTGTAATGTAAAGTTTTTGCACTTTTTGACAATTTTCATCGGAGTTACAGCGTTATCGTGTTTCATGGCGAGTGATGTGTTGTCGTGAAAGTGGGGGGAGTTTACGTTAAATACGAAAGTGGGCGTGGCCTAAGCTATTTTTGAGGCAAAGTTCTGGAACCAATTACACATCGCAATTTTCACCAGTCCTGACTCGCGTGCACAATTTGGGGAGTTTTCATATATGTTGCGGGGGTCAAATTTGCATTCAAAGAGGAAAAATAAAAACAAGAATAATAACAATAATCCTTTCAATATCAATAATGTGAGCAATGATACAAAATGCACAGTATTATACATTTTTGGATGTGATGAAAACCTCCATATCTGTATTTACCGCCAGTCAAATGACAGCGAGTGTTTTCACCCAAAAAAGGGGCGGGGCCATGATGCAGAGGGAAAGTACTCTCATCTATCTCTAAAAAACACAAATAAAACCCTAACCCTCAGTACAACTAGAACAAACGTAAAGTTAATTAGGGGACCTTTAAAGAGGACCAGAGTGTGATTCTTGCTCTGTTTGGTCCCTCAGTGGCGCCCGGACCTTCTCCTACCTGTTCTCCATGAAGACTCGCATCCCGGGGTTCCCCAGCTGGGTGCAGGCAGAGCACGCCGAGGACCTACAGTACCTGTTCGGGAAACCCTTCTCCATGCCGCTGATCTACTTCCCCCGGCACCGCGACCTGTCCAAGTACATGATCGCCTACTGGACCAACTTTGCCAGGACCGGGTAATCTCCCAGCATGCAATGCAAACACACTAACTGGTTTGGTGTAGTCACCATCAATACTTTAATTTCAAATATGTAAAGTTCATTTTTTGATGTACGGGAACTTGGTCTCAGAGACTCAAAAAGGCTTCTGTCCACTTTGCATACCCGAGGTTGTGCAGTAAGTATTTGAAGTGCACAGTACACGTGAAATACATAACTGCGGGAACTCTTATATCTCCCAAGTTTGTTAATGGGGTCAACAGGCGTGCTTGGCCCCCAAAATGTGTGGGTGTGATCCAAAGGGCCCCATGTGTCCGTGTACCAAGTTTGGAACCTGTGCACTTCTACATTCTTGACATTGTCCAATTGTCTCCATTTTCACACCAATCATTTGCTAGCCTATACCACAGTCCAAGCTCCCTGCGTCAATGCATTGTCGAGAGACAGTCCTGTACATTTCAAATACACAAGACACTGCAGAAATGTATTTGAAGTGTGCGTCCACTTTAAATACATAACTTCACAATGTCATGTATGCAAAGTGGACAGGGACTTATATCTCCTAAGGTTGGGGGTCAACGGGTGTGCATGGCCCCCAAACGTTGTTCACTCAGTGAAGCCCTTACGGTCACTGAGTAAGGGTTTTAAAGGACTTAGAATATATTAAGAAGATCTGAAAGAGATATGGAAGTGTAATAAGGTGCTGTCTCTCCTCAGGGATCCCAGCAAAGGGGAGAGCAGAGTCCCGGCTGTCTGGCCCGCCTTCACCGAGAACCACCGAGTCTACCTGGACATCAACCACAAGATCAGCAAGTCCTCCGTCAGGTAGTCTGCCGCTAAGTCCTCCGTCAGGTAGTCTCTGCTAAGTCCTCCGTCAGGTAGTCTCTGCTAAGTCCTCCGTCAGGTAGTCTCTGCTAAGTCCTCCGTCAGGTAGTCTCTGCTGAGTCCTCCGTCAGGTAGTCTCTGCTTTTT